CCTGCTAATCAGGGCTGGTGAGGGCATGCGTCCAGCAGGGAGTGGAGCTGCCAGCATGTGCTGGTATGCTTCCTAGGGACTTGCCAGACTCAGAAGGGACGGAAAGTAAGAAAACCACAGAGCCATGAAGACAACAGTAGAAAAGAGTAGGGACGTTAGGGAAGTGAGGCCTGGTAGACATGAAGGCGAGGGAACGTGAGCTTCTGGGCAGGACCTTGTCTGTCCTACTGACATCCAGAACAATGTGCACGTGCACATGGAGTTTGTCCTCACCAAACAGAGAATATGTATTCTTTTCAAACACATGTGTGTAGTAGTCATAAAAATTGGCCATAGATTGGGTCACAAAGGAAATCCCAACAGATTGCCAACAGCAAAATCACATAAACCATATTTATTGCTCACAATGCTGGGAGGACTCAAAATTAGAGACAAAAACAAAGCCAAACCAACCAGAAAGCTATCCACTCTTCTAATTACCTTTTAATTTTGATTAAATTGAGAATCACCTTGGAAGTGATTATTTACTTAGAAGAGTTTGACGATGGGTGCACTACCTATCGAAGCCTGGGATGCAAACAGAACTGCATTTGAGGGGAAATTCATTATATATTCACCCACATCATCTCTGTATAATGAATATATATATATATATATATTCATATATATATGTCAGCTTTTCAGTTTATGAATTGAACAGTTTTTGTTTTGCTTTATATTAAGTAATAGTTTCCTCTTACTTTCCTGTTTTCTAATATTTTCTAATACATATGTTTTCTACATAATCTAACATATAAAATTCACTTCTAAAACTGCCTCTCAGTAGGGGCAGACCTGGATAGCTTTATAGGTGAATTCTTTCAAACTTTCAGAGAATTATGATGTCATGTAAAGTATTTCAGAAAATAGTAAAAACTAGAGAATCCTTGCCAAGTCATTAGTATAACCTGATGGCAAAGCCAAACAAGATGGCATGAACACGGAAACCTGCAAACAGAAACCAGTTTTTATAGAAAGGATTCAGGTCCCAATATAATTTATGCAACAAATGAAAAGACATTTCAGAGCTAAGCAATCTATTAATGTGATTTACAATCATTAACAGAAGAAAAACTATCTTCTCAAGAGATGGCAGAAAGCAGTTGATAAAACTCACATTCCTGCTTTAAAGTGTTTAGGAAGCCAGGAACAGGCAGATGCTTCTTGGTTTTGAGAATATCTACTAAACATAGAGGAGGCAACATATTTGACCATGTAGCACAGCAAGCAGGTGCCTAAGGATGGCAGCCGGACACAGACCGAATGCCAGTGTCACTACTGCTTCGGAGTGTAGCCTCAGTTGTCTCCAGGGCTAGTTAAGACAAGCAAGAGAAATAAGAGTGAATCATGGGAAAAGCCATAAAAGTGTCCTCCGTGTGGACAAGATGATGATCTGCCTGGAATAGCTAAGAGAATCATGTCAAGACTAGTAGGACTAAGAATCTATTAGGTGCTAAGTTATAAAATACAAACATAAAATCAACAGTGATCTATACACCATCAGAAACTAATTAGAATGTATAATAGATAAAAGAGATCTCATCCACAATGTCAACAACATGTATAACATACTGAAAAATCTCTGAACAAAAAAGTAGGAGGGCTTTGAAAAAAGTCTCTAAAACTTGAGTGAAAGTAAATTGATGGAGACAAGTATGACACCGTTGGATGGGAAGCCTCAATATTATAAAGATATAGATTTTTCCCAAAGAGATAAATGCATTTGGAGCAATCCAATCAAAACTTAAAATTTTTTTTTTAACTTGTAGAGAAGATTGTAAAAAGTCATTCATGTTAGTAAAGGATTGAGAAAAGTTAAGATACTTTATAAAATATCATCAATGAAAAACAACTGTGAAGGGAAGACCATCTACCGGATATCAGAGTGTGTTATGAAGTTATTAAAATTAAAATAAAGTTGTTTTTGTACACAAATGGGACTTCTGCATCCATGGAACAAAATAGAGAGCATAAGGAAGCCAGGCTCATGGAATAAAAAAAGGTTAATATATATGAAAGGGGGCATCTGAGGCCACCAAATTAAAGATGAATTATTTACTCATGATTTGGTGACAAAGGCTTATTTTGAAACAATAAGGTTAGATCTGACCACATTATCATCCAGAAAAGCAAAGAACAGAGGAACCAAAGGGCTCACTGTAAATTACATTGCTCAGAATTGTCCCTGCATGGTGCAAGGTGATAATAAGAAGACTGACTTTTATTGGGCTTATTACTGTTTTAAAATTCTCTACAGGACGTGCATGCCCACTGCTTGCACACTGGATGGATGGCTCCGACTGCCTGTCAGGGACCACCTCAAAGCAAATCTTCGGCAGGTACTGTGTGAACACGTGCGCTGACATTTCTGCCGCTCACTGTTACTAGCAGGCGACAGGGGAATATGGAGAAAAAGAGGATGACGCTGCGAAAATACAGACACCTTTTCAGAAGTGTATTTCTAAATGTCCTATACATATGTGAATGTATAAATACATACCACTGAAGTCATTCTGGGGGTGATGGCAGGGATTTAGGTTGTGGTCGGGGGAGACTATATCTGTATGTTCACAGTTTTTTTTTTTAAAACATTGTATTCATTTATTTATATAACTAAGAAATATGCAAACAGTTAAAAATACATCTACATCCCTGTATGTACCTGTACACACATATATAAGATCTAACCTGAAATATATCTAACCTTATAAAATATATATGTATATATATATAGTATGTATATATGTGTGTATGTGTGTGTGTATTTACATGTAATTTTTTTTTTTTTTTTTGAGAATTGCCTTAATAAAGGAAGAGGGAGAGCAAGGAGGACTTATGTTAGTGCAACACCACTGCCACCTACCGGGGAGGAGAGGATACTGCCAGGGAGGCAGAGAGAACACTAGCCCCGTCTTCTCCCTCTCAGTGCCTTGCAAAGATGACCCCCAGAAGACAACTTTCAAGCCACCTCCCAATAGACAGGAAGCTTCACGCAGCCAGTGGGTGTGGATGTATGGCAAGGGAATCAGGCAGACAACCTTTAAGACTATCCCTTCGGGGGGCGCCTGGGTGGCTCAGTGGGTTAAAGCCTCTGCCTTCGGCTCAGGTCATGATCCCAGCTTCCTGGGATCGAGCCCTGCATCGGGCTCTCTGCTGGGCAGGGAGCCGCTTCCTCCCCTCTCTCTCTGCCTGCCTCTCTCCCTCCTTGTGATCTCTCTCTGTCAAATAAATAAAATCTTCAAATAAATAAAATCTTAAAAAAAAAAAAAGACTATCCCTTTGGGCAAGGGACCCAAAGTCTCTTGTCAGACAGTCTCCCCTTGAGCTAGAGCACAAAGAATCATCACTGAATGGAAGCTTCTATTTCTGCTGTAGGGCTGCAACAGCCCCACAGCGCAAATTTGTAACGATCTGGTTTTACAGAGGAAAACACGAGACCTTGGACCAAAGAAAGGATGTTTTCTAGGCAACATATTAGCAGCTCAGGCAGGATTGATGCCTGATTCTGGGACTTGAGGGCCTCTGAGTCCACAACTATGTCCCCGGGGGCCTCTCCATCAGGGATCCGGCTGATGCATTCGCAGTCATAGCAGACAAAGGTGATGTCCCCACCTGCATCCCAGAGAGCAACCTGAGTTGCCCGCAGCCACGGGGGACAGTTTCTGGCTCACTGATCATTTCCCACCTGAGAACTGGGTCTCTCTCTTCTTCTTTGCCTGAAGGATTTTTCAGTTGTGCATGGAGTTAATGTTCCCTTGGGTGGGGACACTCTGTACCAAAGGCAGTTGGGAGACTGTGGATGAAGACTACTGTCCTCAGGTGAGGGGTGTGTCCCACATGGTTCTCTGAGGGTCCCTGGTGGGATGCAGCCCCAGTAATCTATAGCCTTCCTTAATAGGCCCTTCTCACTGCCCTGGCTCACTCTTGGGGTTCCTGGGATTTCCTTCCACCTAAACCTACACCTGAATTCTTGACTCTGAGGCTGCTTTGCTGAGACCCAAACTAAGGATGCAGGGCACGGTGGTTGACTATTACTGGAGAGGCAGTAGGGTTCCAGAAGTGGGTGTGGTTTCTCCAGGAGTGTGAAAAGTCAAGTTGACGGCATTGTGAGCCTACAGAAGGGAGAGGAACCTAACTAGATCTTCCATTAGACTCTCAGTTTCAAATGCAATCCATTGTTTCTATAAGGTCATTCAAAGCAAATGGTGTGAGAGTGCATGCATGCGTGTGTGTGTGTGTGTGTGTGTGTGCATTTTTCTGCGGAGAGAGTCCATAGATTTTATCAGAGTCTCAAAGGAGGTTCCTGAACTAATCCTTATGGGCAGAGCCACTGAAGATTCTGAGAGGGGATGGGAGGTGGCCAAAAGAATCACAGAACGTGAGTAAACTGTGCCCTGAGTTATCATCTTGAAGTAATATTTACTGAGCACTGTACCACGTCTAGGACAGAGCTTAGTTCATTATAAACATTGTCTTATTCACTCATCACATCATCCTTTGAAGGGGGTGGTAATAGTATCTACATTTACAGATGAAGATACTGAGCCCTAGCCCAAGGTCACATGGCTGGATCTGAAGCCAGGCAGCCTGTCTCTAGACTCCAAACCCTTAGCCCCAAGCCAGCGGCCCTCAAGCTTTAGGGCAGCAGAATCCCCAGGAGAGCTGGTGATCGCACCTGCCTGGACCCCATCCCCAGAGTTTTTGAGTGGGGCAGGGCCTGGGAGTGTGTATTCTAACTCGTTCCCCACTGCTGTTGCTGCTCTGGGGGGTCACACTGCAAACCCGCTTGGAGCCATAAGCTCTTGTCTCCAGAGAGGAGGTCACAGAACCTATCTAGGCTACTCAGCTACTTAGCAGCAAACCAAGACGAGAATCTGGGTCTGTGAATTTTAACCCTTTCCACACCACTCCTGCTTGGAGGAGGGCACATCCGGCTGAAAAGCGTACACCACTCTGATTACCTGTTGTATGTCCAGCCCCTGGGAATGGGCGTTGGGAGAAGACAATTCCTCACTTGGCTCCTTGGAGCCCACGCGGGCCCTTCTCCACCTCCTGGCCTTCCGGTCCATGGTGTAGGGGGCCTCTTCAGGCTCGCTGCTGTCTGAGGTCTCCCTGCTGGGGGCCTGGGGGTTGAAGTTCACGTCCAGTTCTCCCTGCAGGCGCAGCTTCTCTGCTGTGGGTTCCCTGGGGGCCTTCCTCGGCAGCCAGGACAGTCTTGCCCGGCACCCAGCTTCCCGGCAAGAGCCTGCAGAGGAGGTCTCCGAGTCGGAGCACATGGCCTCGGGGTTCGGAGAGAGCCCAGAGTTGGCGGCTGATGGGCCTTGGTGGAAGCTCTGGGCCTGTGTGGGCAGAGGCTGGGGGTTCCTGGGCTGGCCTCGGGTCCGTGGACACAGTGTACTCAAGGCCTCACTCCAGTCAAAGTCCTCCTCGCTGTCAGAGCCCATCTCGTCGTAGGCAGAGGCCACGCTGGAGGCTGCCTCCAGGGCCTGGAACGTGCCACTCTTAGGTTTGGCCAGCAGGCGGGTGGGCGGCAGAGTACCATCCTTCAGGGCCACCCAGTTCCCATCGGGGCTCTGCAAAACCTCGGCCAGGTCTGCGGGGGGAGGGAGGGAAGGAAAAACCAGACAGGCCTGTTATCAACTGACAGCAAGGCGAGGCTGCCCTCTGCGTCTTCCCCACTGCTGGCTCAGGGTCCCAGGGAGCAGCTGACTCTGGGAAGTCCAAAAGGGCACACCTCTTTAGGAGGCAGAATCGAAGGTACCCAAGAAGCCCCTTGAGGCCTTGCAGGCCCAACGCTCCAGGGATGAGGAGATACTCAGAGGTCAGGTTCCTAGTGCATCTCTGCCTGGGTGGATAGTCCCCTCCATCTCAGAATGGCCCCTCTCCTGCCCTGGGATGGCTGGGTTGGAAAGGCAGGGGGTTAGGGGGACAGCTACTGTTAGCAGCCTCAGGTCTGGCTCTTTGTCCTTGGGCCATGGCTGTCCCTGGTCAGATGGGAGAGGACTCTGTCACCGGCCCTGGGCTCCCTCAAGGTTAACACACTCTGCCCTTGGCATTCCTAGAGATCTTACCCACAACGGCCTTGTGAGATGGCAGTGTGAAATAAGACACGCACACGCACACACGCACGCACCCGACTCTGCTCCCAGTTCCTGTTAATATTTGGTCTTTGACCCCAGTTCCTGACACAGGGCTCCCCAATTAAATCCCTTGTAATTTCCCGGGTGACGGGAGCCTCTTTTGTTCTAAGGGGGTGACTCTGGGCGGCTCCAAGATGGGACTGGCCACCAGAAAGACCAAGCCATGATTAGAAATTCAGAACTTTCAGCCCTACCCCCATCCCCTGGAGAAGGAAGAGGGGCTGGAAAATGAGTTAATGATCGACTGTGGCTACGGGAGGAAACCTCCATAAACGTCTCCCAAGTCTGGGGTTCTGAGAGCTTCCTGGCTGGCACGTCTGCGTGCCTAGAGAGGCACCCCAGCTCCTTGGTGCTCAGGACCCTCAAGGACCTCACCCAGTGAACCTCTTCATCTGGTTGTTCATCTGTATCCTCTGTTATATGATAAACTGGTGAACCTAAGTGTTTCCCTGAGTTCTGTGAGCTGAGCTGCTCCAGCAAACGACTGAACCTGAGGAGGGAGTCGTGCACAGCTGGTCGGTTAGAAGTCCGAGGGACGACATGGGACTTGTAATTGGTGTCAGAAGCCACATGGTCCTGAGCCCTTGATGGTGGGATCGGGAGCTACCTGCAGGGAGACAAAGTCAGCACGGAGCTGGAGGCCCCCAGGCTGGTCTCAGAGAACTGGTAGATACGGAAAAACCCCACACATCTGGTCCCAGAAGTGTTCTGTGTGAGCCGCAGAGGGCGACAGAGTTTATTCCTGCTTACCACGTAAGTTTATTTTCAACTCAAGTCACATGCCTCATTCTGGAAAGGATGTGAGGGAGAAGGCGGTTGGTAATTCCAATCTTCTTTGACAGATGGGAGACAAAGGTGAGCGAGGTTACATAACTTGTCGAAGGTCACAGGGCTCATACCTAGTCAAATTGGGATGATCTCTGTCCAACACCGAGACGGCTCTGGCTTAGAGACTGTGCTGTGGACGCCAATGAAGGCACTGATCAAGGGGAGGCTGGAGTGGTCCTCACTGGAGGTCATGATCTGGGTTGGCCAACAGTGGCCTCAGTTTTGCCCAGAGCATCTGTGATGGCAGGTGGCTGGGGCCCCAAGGGTAGACCTGCATGGCAGAGGGTGACAGCTGCTTGATCTTTTTTTTGCGGAAGCCAGACAGGATAGTGCACCCGGGGAGTGAGCAGGATGGTATGGTGCTCCTCAACCACGAGTATCTGGGAAAGCCCCGCTGCCTTGGGCACAGCAATGGCCGAGAGAAGCTGTGTTCCTGTATTAGAAATCTTACAGGACTCCCTGGGGTTTGCGTGATGAGGACCACGGGGCTTTGGACGAGACCCCCTTGTGTGCGGACACCAGCTTCTGGGCTGGAAGCCTCCAGGGGCCACAGGTCCACTGTGCTGGGACACTGGGGCAGCGTCTTGCCAGAGGTCGTTTCGAACACAGATTTCCTATTAGTTAAATGATTACTGTTTCATGTAATGAAGTAAAAGTTCCTGGTGTTCCACAGCGTTGTCCACAGAGTGCTGTACGTACCAGGACTGCTGTAGGGCCACAGCCTTTAGGGAATTCAGATGTTGGTTGAACACATTTTCAGCTCGAGACCCCGGGGCACGTCAGCTGTCTGACGGCAGCCCAGGCTGGCCGGACATCTGTATTCCCTTTCTTCTTGAGTCAGAAAGTGGGGCTTCTTTTCCTCCAGGAGGATTCCAGGCCCGGGGCTGATTTAAGCACAGTCTTCCTGGAAGTCTGAGGGCCTGGGTCCTGCCTTTCCCTGGCTGCTCCCTCTACCCTTAGGGTCTGTCCCCACCAGCATCTCCACATGGCAAAGCTCCAGTGACCTCTCAAAGACCTCATCTGCTTGGTTGCTCTTTTCCCAGAGCACTTTCTTGTCTCCCTGCCCAGATGTGGCCTCCTCCTTCCCTGGGTCTTGCTAGGGTGACAGCCTGTCTGGCTCCTGCCACGACCCAGTCTGAGTTCTGGCTGATCACACATGTGGCTGAGCCCTCCTTCCGATGATGACAAGGTTCCTTTGCCGGGGGCTGGATCTCAGCGACCTTTCCAGCCTGCTGCGTACCCCCAGCTGGCGCAGAGAGAAAAGCAGAGGCCGCTGAGTCAGGGGGCCTGCGTGGCAAGCTCGGGAAGCTTCTCAGCCTTGGTACTCTCATTGGTGGAAAGGGGCACAGCTAATCCCGCCCTCGCCGGGTGTGGGGATTAAATGAGGTGACACCCACCAAGCCAGTTACACGTGCCTGCTCAGAGCAGGAGACGAGTTCTTCATAGCACTTTCACCCTTATCCATCCCTGGGCTGCCCCTAGAACTTGGAATCAGGCAGAGCCAGGGCTGAGCCCCAGTTGTGATTCCTGGCAGGGGACCTTGGTCAAAGAGCACCTCTGAGCCCGTTTCCTGACCTAAAATTGGGGACAATGCGACCCTCTGTGGCTGTCAGAGGATTATTAGAAGACAACATATGTCAAGCCTCGATCATACTGTCTGCTACCCCTCAACCTTTTTACCTTCTGCCTGCCGAGTTGGCCTCTACCATTGGCCACGTACTGCCTACACAGGGATTCATACCTATCTACCCTGTATTTACGACTGTGTACCACAGCAACTACTGTCCTTGGCCATGGAAACATGCAGAAGAGAGCCTAACGACGGTGTTACTGTCATTTGCAGGTAACGGGCTCTACCTGTTGTGGTGGTAATGGTCTTCTGGGGAAAAGGGTTTCTATGTTGCCGGCATTTTCCCAATGCCATGTCCCAGTCTCATGGGTCAGGTGGTGTGGAAGCAGGGACCACAGAGCCCGCCTGGATTTTTCCAGAAATACGCAGGCTTTCTCTCTGAGAGGCTGTTTGTGGCCAGTTAAGTGGTGATTTTGACTTCCCCAGCAGCAGGCGATGTGGGTCTCTTCGGCCTTCACCCTCTGGGCCTCCAATTGCCAGCACTTGCGATTCTTGGCCGGAGGTGTGCTCTGGTTAGCAGAGGCTGCTTGGCTGCCCCAGCAGTGGCGGTCATCACAGCCTCCGGGAGCAGCCCTCGACCAGTGGCAGCAGAAGCTGGTGGATTAGTACCCCCTTTCCTTTGCCTGCTGCTGCCCAGGAGGGTGTTCTACACTGGTCTTGCTGTTCCCCAGCCCTGCTTCATAAGGAGTCATTTCCTTGCCTTGCCTTCCCTTCCCTGTCTCGTGTCCCCTCCTCCCCTCTCTGTGTTCCCTGAGCTCACCTCCAAACAAGCCACAAGTCCTCAGATCTTCCTATTAGAGTCTGCATACAGACACACTCCCATGATGCAAAGCAGACTCGCCCTGGCTGTGGAAAGGGTTCACCTTGAGGGGAGAAGTGTGGTCACCCCGCCCCGCCCCGGGCCCTATACTTAGTTGTTAAGTCAGCCCTCTGGATGGTCTTTGGAGACCCAACTCCCATGCTGCTTTTCAAGGACACATCCATGGCTTTCTTACCTTAAGAAGCTAGATTACTCTGTTCTCTGGACTTTGCAAAAAGCTTTCATTATTGAAGACTTAAACTATACTAGAGCTAATTTTCCTGGTTGTCTACCCCCAGTCCCCTTGCCCCGCCACAACACTGACCAGAGGATGCATTTTCTTCACTGCCCTACCTCCAGTCCGTGAGCAGTTCTGGAACCTGCCCAGGGCTTGTAAAGACTACTTATTGGTGAACCCAGGCACCCACAGGTTGCGGGGGCAAGACTGCGCTCGAGATGTTAGGCCCTCCACAGCCCTGCTGTCTGCATCCTCTCCTGGGGTCATGGGAGGAAGTCACAGCAGGAAAGCCCCGATGAATGCCACTCTGTGCCTGACTCCCAGGCTGGCAGTGTTATAGATGTGGTCATGTACCTGCCTTCGACACCCGCTACCCGGAAGGCAGGGATTCAGTCTGTCGCTGGCCCCCCTCTTCTGCCTTTCACAATCCCAGTTCACCACGTTCTCCTGAGGAAGCTAGAAGCTGGCCAGCTTTTGTCTCCGCAAAAGCATAGCGGGCTTCCTGAATGCCCACCCCTGTGAAAACCTGTAAGGAGCGTGGTCGGAACTGCTCAAAGCTGTACTCGGGTCCCACTACCACACTCTCTTAGTCCTCTGGGAATAGCCATCGAGGACCCTGCACCCTTCCATTCTCTCCTTTGTCCAAATTCTTTCTCTTCCGTGACTGTGCGGCAACAACCAGTCATCGACTACAGAGCAAGGCCCACCGTCCCCAATGGCTATTTCCACCACCGAGCATGTGCTGTGCCTATAGTGGATGCTCATTCAAGGTCTATCAAGGGGAAATGTGTTTGGGGAGGTATCCACTGACTGCTGCGAGCTCTCCCGGGGCTCAAAGTGGACCTGTTGTGGTTTACTCAGCCCACAGCGTCCCTCCAGCTGACCGCAACCATGAATTAACAGGCTCTGGAAGCCACCTTTCCCCCGGGGCATGAATAGAACTGCGGAAAATAGCCAATGGCCATTAGCCAAGATGACCTCTACCTCTGGGTCTCCTCTCTTCTACATTTCTGCTCTGCTGAGACTGGGCCCTGCTCCCAGGTATAATCTGCTTCCCGCTAAACAGATGAGACACTCCTTGAGACCTGTGGGGTTGGTCTGGACATTTTAGCATGTCAAGGTCAAGCATTCCTCAGAAAAACCAGAGGTTTTCTACACAAGTGCTTTATGGTTGTTATTTTAAATCTCTAACCTGAGAGATGCATGGAGTTTTTGAGAAGAGTATGAAATCTTTTCTGTGTGTGGTTTTGTTGAACTAAATTTTGTGTTTATGTACCACTGATACATAATTACACGGGTGCTTCATTTTACAGAAAATTAGGTAAAAAGAAATCATGTTTTGAAAATCAAAAACCCTTTCCAAATTTATTTGGAATGCTCCTAAGTCAGCAGGGAACTATTTTGTGAAAGGGAGTGTTTTCTAGAAGTTCTGATCATCTCCTCTAAACTTAACCGTGTGTAAGCGTGAATTCTGAAAGGCTTTTGTTGTGGTGTTGCTTATTTGCTTGCCTTTATGGAGGGAGAGACACTTATTATCATGCAGTAGTTGAAAAAGCCTGCGAGCCATAATGTTTGCATTTGGCCACATTTGCTGTGGGATCTTGAACAAGACACTCACCCTCATTGTCCCTCAAGGTTCTTGTTGGCTACGTGAGAAGGTGGTAACGCTCCGTAGCGCTGTTGGAGGAATGAATAAAGTAATGCCTGCAGATGGACCCTGTACGTGGTGAAGTGACGTTTAGAGGGTAGTTATTATTGTTTATGGAAGATAAACATATGCCCTGTGGAATTTTAGAGCCCCCTCTCTATGGGAACTTTCAGTCTCTGGTGAGAGATAGAGAAAGGAAGAAAGCCTATGAATGAATGAAGAGATACGTTGGGCAGTAGGAGGAAAGGAAAGAAAAGCTTACTTAGAATGGAAAAAGGCACTTCAAAAACAAAAACCCAAACCATATACATAAATAGGGAACACTTCATGTGCTCCCAGAATCTCTGCAGATTCTACTGGCGGGTGGGTTCTACTAAAAGGTTCACATGGAAATGATCTGTTTTGGGAAATTTTTAGAATGACGGTTAAAAAGCATTGCATGCTTTGTGGTTCTTTGCACCTTGAGGACAATGGAATTTGTTTCAATAGCTGTGGATTCAATATTTTCCCTTAGAGAGTAGAAACGATAGTCCAATCTTTAAAAACCTATTTCTAAGGTGAGTATTTTGTTGCTAATTTTTGTGGTTGTTGTTCAGAAACAGATTCTAGATCTGACATACAGTGGGAGTTGAGAATCCTCTCATGGCTTCTTTTGTGAGGACAATGCTCCTAGCTTCCGTTATGTGTGGTCGGGTGAGGAGAGAACAGACCTGTGCCAGGGAGGAGCGAGCATCTTGGCTTAGACAGTCACAGAGCCCAAGACACCCGGGTGGCCTGAGCAGGGGACTTTGTGGCCCTCAACGGTTACCCATGTGGTTCCAAGTACCTCCAGCCTTTGGATATGTAACTTTGGGAAAGTGACTCAGCTAATTGGAGCATCTTCACTGTGAAGGATTAGGTGATGAGACTGGTTTATGACGGACTGTGTGTCATGGATGTTGAGTCTCTGGAGAGGGGAGCTCAAGGGTTTTATGCAGAGGTGGGATGTTCTAGGAGAAGGAGCAGGAAGAACGGGCAGCAGGCCATCCCCAGGTGCGGTGGGGATGACAGATGTCCATCAAGGACTCGTGTGCACCCAGCCAGGACACCTGCCAGGCCCTCTGAGCTGAAGTTGGGCTGTGTGACTGGTTCCTGCCTGTGGGCTGGGAGTGAAAGTGGTGTGGGCCATGTCCCTGCTGAGGTGGTTAGGAAGCAGGTGAACTCACTTCTCTGTTCTCTCTTCTTCCATCTGCTGGCCAGTGTGAATGACCCAGCAGAAAGCTCAGAGGCCGTGGAGGACAGCAGAGCCTTGGGCCTCCGCAGACCTCCCACAGCCAGGACACTGCATTGCACTGGTATTTGATGAGAACCTAAACTAGTATGTTAAGCCACCTAAATGTTTGGTTTCTTTGTTATGGGAGCGAGTATCACCCTCACTATTATGTAAGGTTTCAAAAAGGACACTCTTAAAACCAACCCTCACTGAGACCCAAATCCTCTGAACACTGACATAGCCTGCTAGGTTGGATTAGTGTTTCTGGTCTGCATGAGACCTGTTCTCCTGGTCCATGTGGAATGGGAAGCTGAAATGTGGCCAGGAAGCTGAGGCATTTTTAACACCCTGGCCCTGGAGCACCCCAGCCCCCATTGTCCCACAGGTCTCAGCGGGAAGACTGCCCAGTGGAAAACATAATTGCATTATACGTGTGTGCTTGGTAGAGGCCTCATGACTCGGTGGCTCAGTGGCCCCAAATGGGCCCACACCAACTCGGGCTGAGCGGGAAGAAGCCTCCCAACAGCACTCCTGGGACCCACAGACCAACCAGATGCCACTTAAAACCGTTACTTGTCTCGTCCAGCCTGTCCGTGCTCTTCCAGCTGGGCAAGGTTGCCTCCTCCCGAGGTGGCTGGGCCTGGCTCCTCCGCGGTCTCGATGAAGCCTCCAGGGAAGGGGGCTTCAGGGCATCCTCTCTGCGGAGTGAGAACGCAGACTGGGACTGCTGTGGAGAAAAAAAAGGGGAAGAGAGCAGACTGAGGGGCGCAGTCATGGGAAGGGATGCCTTCCATTTTCTGGTAGATGACACAGTGTGGAGAAGACGTGTCTGATGGTGTTGGTTCTTCCCGCGCTGGGGCTTCCAGCTGCAAACAGTGCGTTTGCAGTGCCAACAGGCCCTGTTGATTCTGCTGAAGCTGGCCAGGTCCACCCGAAAGCATCAGAACCCTAGTGGGTAGTGGCTGCAGACAGCCTTTTATCCAGCCATCCTCCTGGCAACATTTCTTAGGTCAACTGTGCTCAAAAAAGAAAGCATCTTCCCTCGGAAGACCTCCAAACCCAAGGTTGGGCAACCCGCACAGAAACTTAGGGCGCAATGTCAATCCTACAACAGATCCGTGAGCCAAGTATGGCCCATCCACAAACCTACAACTATTGCAACACGTACCACTTAGCGTCTGAATTAAAGAAGGGAAAAGGAGCTGTTACCTAAGAAGCGGAGGCAGTGAGATTTCAAAGGACAAGCGGAGACACTGTTTGAATCATATCACAGGTACATGGAGGGCGAGGTCTGAGCTGGAGGACAGCCAAGCTAACACACACATCAAGTGGCTTTCAGCTGAGTGCCGCTCCCTTTATTCCAAGGGCAAGAAAGCCCGGACTCTGTCCCTTGTGCCAAGAAAACAAGGTTTTCATGGGGATGGGTATTCAGGGAGCCACCTATGATTTTGCTAAATCCTTATTCTGATGAACAGCTTCCAGAGAGAAAAGAGATCAAATTTGATGGTCAAATGAAGTTACTAAAAATGAAGAAAAAAGTCTTTCTATGGTAAACTCCTGTGTACTCAGGTAATATACCCCTGACATTCATCCCACCGTGGTCTGGCAAGAAGCCTCCCCTTTGATGTAATCCCACACATAACTGCATAACTGTCTTACAGTCCTACTACAACCTTTCAGTTCTTCCAAAGACCGTGAGCTCCTTGACAGCAGGAATGGTGTTTTGGATGTGGTCCTTGGTTGCCTGTTTGTGACTGAATTTCCAGGACTTCAGACAGAGTTTAGACAGACAGCTCCTTAAGGGAGTTGACCATCCTTCGCCAGGTACAGTATGGAGAGTATGGAGCCATTTTCTATGCCCTGACTTTGCCTTTTTTTTTTTTTTTTTAATATCTGCCAGCTTCTCACTATAAATCACTGAACACATGCTTACAAAAGAGGAAAAATGACACTGAATGTTTCACTTTATAGAGGGTCACATGGTATTTTATATTTGTCTGTATGTGTCTTTAAGAGTTAGCTTGGGTCCATTTTTATGGGACAAAAATGCTTCCCATCTACAAAAGCCTACACCAAGAAATGAAAAGTCCCTGTGGTTCTAACACGGAGGACGGCATCTCTGTTCTTTGCGAGTGAGTTGGGGACCCCAGACTTTTACACTAGATTTCAGGAAAGCCATTGTTTCACACTAGAAGAAAACTATACCCTGACAACCACAAAAGACCCCAAGATCTGGCTTCAGTAGGTTTCAGGACACCTCTGGCCTTGTCTCCAGCCAGGGTGGAAAAGCTCCCATTCTGAAACCCAGACCTAGTTTTGCCACAAATTCAATGCAATAAACATATTTACCAGCAGATGGCGACAGGATAATGCATTTATTCACCAGTTAGCTCAACCTCTGGCTCCTGGGAAGTGAAGGGATTACTGGAGTCTTACTTGCTCATGATCCTAGCTGGGCCTTTATGCCCCCTCCTTTGTTCTCACCCATGACCTCTGCTTTCCTTCCCTTTCTCTTACCCACCCTACTGTCCACGGAAGAAGCAGGTCTGATAATAAGAGGAAGGGCTGGCCTGAGTTAGTGTCTGCATGTCTATAAAGGGAGGGCGGGAATGGCTGGTCCATGGTCCAGGAGTATCAAGGTGCCAGCAAGGTCTTGCAAAGATGAACTTGAGAATCTGCGTGTTGAAACAGGTCAGCCTCAACTCTTCAGGCACCAGCTAATGGGTGGTGTGTTTGGCACTGGGTCAATGCCAGCTTCCTCTTGCTCTGTGGGATTCTGCGGGGGGCGAGGGGGCACTTCAAGTGTTCTGTGCCTCAGTTTCCTCATGTAAAAGGATCAGTGTCATGCCTGGTACATAAAAAGCACTCAAGGAGTATTAGTCAAAATAAGAGTATTTATTACACTCTACCGCTGAGCCAGGACAACATAGGCATGCTCTCACTTGACCTGATAGGGTGCACATGAGGAAACTGAGGCAGGGGTTGAATAACTTGCCCAAGCACATGGTTGGTCAGGCAGCAGAGACAGGGTCTGACCTGGGGTCTGTCTGGCCCCATGCTGTGCCGAGCCCATGCTGCAAGCCTGGGAACACCTTCCTCCTGGCTAACCTGCTCCGGCCAGGCAGGACTTGCCGTTTGAGCCAGGTGGCTCTGACGCTCTGGGCGAAACACACAGCATGATCATGAGACCTTGCTCCACACTCGCTGCCTACCCTGTGTGGGCAGTGGCGTGATGTGCTCCTTGCATCTCTTGGAAAGGTCTACTGTCGCTATGACGAATAGGACCATCAGCACTGCCAACAGGGCAGACTCCCTGAGGGACTGACCATGGCACCAAAGAGGTCTTTACTCACAAGGAGGTTATTCCATAAAACAGGAAGAGGATGAATGACAACTGAGACAAAGCTTTGCTTTGTATTTTTGGGGTCCGGCATAGATACTAAATTCAATCCTGTAATTATAAATAATGAAAAATACTTTAGATCTATCCTGTAAAAGGAGAGAGCAAGAAAGAGGGAGAAAGAGACAGACACGTAAGAGGAAAGGCTGAGAAAAATAGAGAAGGATAGAGAGGGGACAGAGAGATGCCTCTTGGTCACTGGACGCATCCTAAGAGCCTGGCCCCTGGGGTCATCACGGTTATTATCAATAGGATCACCAGGTTATTATGAAGACAACTTTGTATATACATGCGCCCAAAGAGGCAGGCATTAAATGAATTATAAGACCTGCACTACAGGCTTTTAGGATATTGCGTCTTAAGGCTTTGAAAGCTGGATGGCACGGATCCCCTACTGTTGGAGAATCACACAATAAGGGAGGAAATTAACAAGAGAATGAACACATTCAAGTTTCTTCCAAGAGAACACAGGAGAACTCCTGTCTACAGGGGATGGATTGAGTTTGGGTTTCAAAGTTAAGCCCAGCAGCCTGGCCTGCAGTGTTCTGAGATTCTGCATGGTTATGCCCTGGGCTAGAAGGGTCCCGGTTGTTGGGGAACTGAGGAAAAAGGGGAGGCATTGCCTGGAGGCCACAGGGTTATGGCCTCTGCAGCGGGAGGTCAGGGAGCCCTCCTCAAGAGAGAAAGAGCTATCCTTAAGCCTGCAGCCCATTAGCCTCACCGGGGGAGAATTGGGTCAGGTACTTGGATGCCCAGGCTGGACTCTAGATCCCATGAGTCGGAACCCCTGGAGTGGGGCTCTGGTGATGGTGCAAATGAGCAGAGGGGGAGGTTGGAGACCAGCTGGTCAAAAGATTGGAGGGCCACCTTCCCTGAGGTCCCCAAGAGCCAAGACTTGGCCTGCTGCTTCGTGTCCAGGCTTTGGCCAGTGATGAGGCACATTTCTGCATCTACGCCCTCTGCTTATCACTTCCTCCTTATCTCAATTCTAGACCAGTGCTGTGCAGTAAAGTTTTCTGGGTGATTGAAATGTTCTGCAATGTGTAATACAGTACCCACCAGCCGGAGGTGCTACCGAGTACTTGAAATGCGGCCAGTCCGATGGAGGAGCTAGATTTTAAACTTTATTTCATTTTAATTAATTTAAATTTGAATAGTCACTTGTGTCTCATGGCCGCTGCAATGGAGAGTGCAGTCTCAGGCCTGAGAGATAGCTGAATCTGCTGCTCTTGTTTCATAGAGGAAGAAGCTAGATGAAGGGCTTTGGAAGAGGAGAAAGGTAGTCAACTCTCAGAGCCACCAATCACAAGCTGTGGAGCCTCAGGCAACTTATGGTAAAGCTCTAGCCTCAGTTTTCTCATCTATAAAATGGGTCCAAAATACCCACAGCCGCACCTTGCGGTGCAGATATAAAAGATATAACATGAGATGGGCAAACATGTATCTGTTCCTTAACCAGTCCTTGTTCCCGCTCATTGGCAGCTAGAACCGCAGTCATCATGCTGTACAACCTGGGGGCACTGATCATGCTGGATTCTAGGTCAATGGTTGTGCAATATGGTGGCCTTGGCCAGGGTCAGTCCCCCTTAGGCCCTAACTCTGGGATATGGTGTTAGCACAGACTTTCACCACAGGGGACAGGGACCAGTTGCAGGCCAAGGGTGGGGAGAAAGCACGGGCTTAGCCATCAAGGTGAGATCCTGCACAGCGCATTGGAGAGGCTGACCTTTGTCCCCCAGATGTACCAACTCTTGAGGTCCCAGGCTGGCCCTGACCATTGGTGCTGGTCAGAGGGAAAGAGCTTGGGGTCCTGACCAAGGGAAGTCAGGCTGGGGTCTGTCCAAGGGTCGAGACCCACGTGTAGCATCAAATGAAGGTCTGAAGACAAGAGAAGAAGGCAACAGGATGGAGATAAGGACGAAGGGAGGAAGGCTTGAGACATTGGGGGAAGTGGTGGGTCAGGGTCATTGGAAGGGAGCCAGTCCTTCCCTGCAGGCCCTTTCAGGGGCCTGGGCTGGCAAGCTTGTCTGGTTAGCCTGTTAATGGGGTTGGAGCCCAATGGGACAGCACTCACACAGAGGAGGTATGCCAACCTCTTTGTCGCTGGAAGAGCTAGAACTTGGGGTAAGCCTTTCTAAACAGCTAATTAATCAAGATTCCATGGATTCTTATCACTGAGTGCTGGGTAAGGCGCAGACTCTCCTTCCAAATAAGGTTTTATAAAAGCGCTAATCATGTGGCTGTCTTCAAACCAAACCAGGAGCTACAAATGGCCTTCACAAGGGGCTGGACCCACCCCTGCGTGGATCCACACAGTCTCCTTCTTTCACAGGTATCCTGGGAACCGAGGGGAAGGGTTTGAGCCCAGGCCATGACTAAATCCCCACAAATCAACATGGTGCCATCAGGTGGCCATGGCCCTGTATCGAGAAACGGCTGCCACGTCCGGTGCTGGGCTGGCCCATCGCCTGAACATACGTGACCACGGACAATGGGGGGCTAAAGATCCTGGCCGCTCAAAAGAGCAAACCATGTCAGGGACCCAGCTGGATGATAGATTTCTCTTTATGCCGGGGTTCTGGCTGCTTCGTTTGCGGCAGCTCCCATGAGTACAAGCGTGAATAGAGAAAGCCAAAGCATTCGCGTGTCCCTGACTGATAATGTTGACAGAAATATGCTGTTTACATATTGCAAATCACAGCTTAGGGAGAACTCACACCGAGAGGCCAAGAGGGGACTTCTTTGATCAAACATCAAAGTTAAGGATGGAAGGATTAGCAATAGGAGCGAGTGGATGATCTTGTCCCCTCTGTAAGGTGCCAGGCCCTGTGATTTGGGTGGTTAAAGTGTTATCCAAGGGGTGTATCGGTGGCTTTTCTGGGCTTTGCTCCAACTATAGCCTCAAGGATCTCTTCCACCCCCTCCCACACTGATGGATTCAAGAGCCAGGAAGGTGGACATAGCTTGCAAAGCACTGTATACCTGAGATTCAAAAGATGACTGCAGTGGGAGAGGGACTTCCATTAGGCCTTATCCTATATCAAAATCTAGAAATAAATCATATTCTGTCATTTGCTTCAGGACAAATAAGTAAGAAATGCATGTGCTCTGTCTCCATTGCTGTTGAAACCAACGTGACAATTGGGACGTGCGGGAGGCAGGCGTTTGGCGAAACAGATTTTCTGGTGAGAAAAGGAAACCCTGAGAAGCTTTGTTTTAGCAAAGCAAATGGGAACCCTGTGTGACTGACCCACAGTCCCCGTGTGCCTGCATCCCAGGTAGACTAGGGTCTTTCCAGCCAGCTGAGGGGCTGAGTGGGAGGTCCCCCTGGGAAGCATCACTGCTGCTTGTTTTAAGCCACTTTCACCTAGTACTTGATGAAGGGGTGTGCAGGAAGCACTCTGCTGTCCTCCTGTGGAAATGGGGTGCCCACTGCAGGCTGTTCCCACTGTCCGGACCCATTCTAGAGCCTACTGTCCCACATCTCCGCGGACACACAGAGTGTTTCCAGCCTCAATGACGTGGCAGGAATACCATTTCTAGGTTGAACTGCAAGCATGACAAGGGGTCCCCCTAAACATTTGGTGGGAAAACAGGCATTTCATATCCACAAGCTGCCCCATGACCCAGGAGACAGGAGTAGAGTGGAGGAAATGCTCAGAGCCTGGAAACCTGGGTTCTGGTCTTGCCCCACACCTCAACTCAGTTCCAGTGGCTCAGGCTAGAGAGGCCACAGTTCACTGCTCTGTAAAATGGGGAGAACCCAGGATGCCCTTGTGTGGATCTCACGAAGTAATATGTATGAACACCCTCCGCACAGAAAGTCTACATAGAGGAAGTATTGGTCAAATGCCGAGACTGGGGGGGATTCACACCTCCTAGAGACGCCCACCTCCCAAGCCTGACTCTTTCAGAAAATGCTTCCAAAAGACTTCCCAGAAAGCAGGGCGTCACTGCGTGCAGCCTGAGCTCGCAGCGGCAGGATGAGTTAGTGAAACCTCTGAATGACAGGCTATTTGAAGGTCATGGGGCTCTCCCTCCGCTGAACCCCAAGTCCATTTCCAGTCTCAGCCGTTCAGCGGGGCTCCCACAGCCCTGGGCAGACTCGTACTCCGGCCTGCTTCGCTATCCGGATTATTCAGTTCCAGCGGGCCCAGACCGACGCTCCTGTTTAGGTGCACAACGGCAGCAGTAAAGTAAGCTGATGGGCATGCTGACAAGGGAAGTTTCTGCCAATAAATCAGTGACGCTAACTCCCCGATAAAGCAATAAAGATGTTCCCTGTTACCTCGAGCATCTGGTGGCTGGTGAGGACACAGGGAGGACTGACATGGTGAAGATACTGGGCATCGCTTCTGGGACCGCATGCCTACCACGCAGCTGGGCTGCACACCCGTTTTTATCAATCTGTTCACAGAGGGGACGAATGCCGCTGACCCCCAGGGGGAGTGGGGGAAACACGTGCTGGTGATCTTCCCGTCTCTGACTTGCCAGTTTTAAATGGCACCTGTGTGCGCTGTCCTGACCTCACGCCCATGCTGGGACCGTGGGCTCCTACCACTGCTGGAAGACAAGCCCTCCCAACCAGTCCCTGGGTTTTAGGTGTAATCTCTGCACAGAAGGCCTGGTTCCTTGGCCTCAGCCTCTGGCCTTCCCAGCCCCCACATCTTCTGCTGGGGCCACTTCAATAGGTAGAGGAGTTTACAGGCTTGTTGGTTCTACCATAGACACAAGCAGGCTCCAACCCTGGGGTCACAGTAAGGGCCCTGTGCTTTGAGTTGCGGCCCTTGGCTTAATTTCAAGGTGATGGACAAAGGGCTGGGCCACTCCCCGACTCCCCCCCCCCCAACCACCGTGTCCAGAGGTGGCCATTTCGGTGCCTCAAACGGCATGGTGATCTCACTGTCACAGTTCGGGTTCGGGAAAGCAAGGGGTGGAAGCTGTAAGGAAGCCCAGGGCCCTCATAAAGTTGTTCTTTTCACAGGAACAGTTCAACCCTTTTTGGAATGAATTTTAAAAATGCCTATTGACACCTTTATTTTTCCTAAATGGGTCCTGCATAAAAAGCCATCTGCATATCCTCAGGAGGCTGTTCTGTATTTACTCCCTCTGGCCCCTCTGGCCCCTCCCGGCCCCCATCACATACACTTTTCTCTGTTTCTCCCCCTGGCCCCCTTCGGGTACTTTTACCCAGTCAGGTGGGTACAGGAGTCAACTATAAGTGGTTGAGAGTGTTGGCCCCACGTCTAGGGCACCAGCTCTGATCAGTGCCTGAGCAGGACACCAGTCCGTGGTGGGGGCAGGATTATGCTTCGGGACTCACCCAGAGGGGGCAGGGAGCTCGGGGGCCTCCTGGGGGTGTGGCGGTCCCCCGGTCAGCTGCCTCGGCCATGCAGCTCTGGGGCGGCAACCACTCTGGCTCTTCTTCCATTTGCTGCTCGCCTTTGCTCTTCTGTTTCCTTATGATCTGGGGAGGGGGTGGGGGGACAAAAGGGGGAAGGTTACTGGCCAGGCCTTCAGGTGCTATGTGGAGCAACTGGAAGCATCTCTGGGATGTGTTTCAGCCACAGAAGAACTTAGTTTCAACAGCATACTCATCTGTTTCAGTTATGCTTGAGGGTAAAACAGAACAACACCTTACATTTTGTAAATCATCCTTTTATGATGCTTACAACTTCTATTCATTAAATGCCTACCACAGGCCAGACTGTGGTAGGCACTGTATGCATTCCATGGCATTTAATTCTCAAAATAATCTTAAGAGCTATGGGCTACGACTCCTCATTTTGCAGATGAGGAAACTGGCTCAGAGAAGTTAAGCTACCAGTGAAGGCTGCACAGCTTGTAAACAGTGGAGCTGCCTTTTGAACCCGCAGTTTCTGGCTATAAATCCTGGTTTCAGGAAGCACTGGCAGGGTCTGTGAAGGGGGCAGGTTCCAAGAGCCAGGAGCTGATGGCTCATTTTTACCACCTGCTATGCTGGGCACAGCCACACAGAGAGAATGAATCTATTTGTATAGTGGTGTCTGGGCTCCTGACTTCTTAGAGGCAGCTGAGAAGACTTCTGAGCCACCAATCTGGGTTTATTCTTCAATGCCCTTGTAGCCCAGATAAGATGAGAGCAGGAGGCCGAGTAGGGAGAGTGAGGAAGGGAGGTGCCATGCCCTGGGGCAGATAGGGGGCCTGACCAAAGTGTACCCCCACCTCCCTGGGCTCTGGGATTGCTGGGGACTGGTCACATCCTGAGCCAGCCAGCTGCCCGGGGGTCTGACCCCGACAGTGTGTGTTGGACATATGGGGACAGATAACATGTTTCCTTGGTTCCTAGGTCTCAGCGTAAAAGCCCCGGAATCTGGATTGAATATACTATGAACTGTGGGTTGGATGAAACATCTGGGGCTCTCTGGGGGATTAGTGAGGATCTTCTGTGTGTGCTGTGCAGAAGGGACATGGATTTTGTGACCAAAACAGAAGACTTAACTTGTTCATTGCTTCCTGAATGCAGTTCTTTGTCATGTGACTCTGCATCTGTCCCAGGAAGGGGACAATAAGTATAAGCCTGTGGCAGTGGGCTGACTGGGTGCCTTGCTTTGGTCAGTGACAGGTGAGGAGGAAGTGGGTAACCATAGTAGTCAGGCTGAGCCTGGGCCTTAGTCCATATGGCAGTTTCCTCTTCCTCTCCTGTGCTCCTGTCCTGGGTCCTGGCCCCAGTAGCTGCTGTGCCTTTACTCAGGCCCCTGAGTGAACACACAGCGTGGACTCGAGCCCAACCCACAGCATGAGCCGGGAGCGGATGCCTGAGCGAGAAAGAAACTGAGCTCAATAAAACATACATTTGGTCTTTGGCCCCGATTCCTGGCACTGAGCCCCAAAACCCTGGGAGTGTCTTTGTTATGCTAATGAGATGACTCAAGGCTGGGAAATCTCAGCTCCCCCTTCTACCTCTGGGAGTGAGGGGGGACTGCGCCCAGGGCTGGGGCAGCCCCCTGGTGTCACCGGGAGGGCAGTGAGCTGGAGGGCAGTGAGCTGGAGGGCAGTGCGCTGGAGGGAGAGGGCATGGAGGTCTGCACACCTCCTCCCCGGCCTTGTTACCCTGTGTATCTCTTCATCCGGTTGTTCATTTGTATCCTTTATGATAAATCTGTCTTTGGAAATGCAGCACTTTGCTGAGTTTTGTGAGTTGTTCTAGCAAATTATCCCAACTGAGGGCAATCAATGATCATGGGAATCCCTGGATTTGTAGTAGACTGGACATCAGTGCGGTAACTTGGGGATACCTGACACCTGTCCCTGGTATCTGCAGTGGGGGCACTCGGGTGGGGCTGAGCCCTTAACTTGTGAGGTCCGTGCTAACTCGGCATAGATAGTGTCAAAACTGAGTTGTAGGACACTGAGGTGGTGTCAGAAACTTGCGTGTGGCATCACAGAAATCATCCTTGTTCGCAGACACAGAGGTCTAGGGCGGTTGGCTTCTCCACAGTAATGAACGGATACTTCATGCAAGGAACAGTTTACGGCATGGAGGTAGCAGGAGGTGACTGCGGGTCAGCAGGAGACCGAAACTTGTGAGAAGGACACACATATGTGCACACATGCAAACACGCACAAGCGGGGAGGCTAGGAAACAGGAAGACGGTGAGTAACCTGCTCAGTGCTGAGTTCCTGGCTCCTTACCCGCCAGCTTGATCCCTAAAGACGACCCCATTGGATCCCTCCACTCAGAGTCTGCAGCGCCATGCAATCCCTCCGCAGTGGCTCCCGGGGCACAAAAGGGAAACGTGATGTAGCCCAGAAATGGTGCCCAAGACAACAACGGGGACCATGGTTGCTCTTCCGCCGGCCAAGACTCTGATCCGGGCCAGGGGTGGGGAGGGGTGGGGGGTGAATGGCATAATGGGATGGCAGGGCCCACCTACCTTCTGCAGGATAGTTGTGGCCAGTTCCTCGGTCAACTCTTCCTTGTGGTCCCGCAGGTAGATGGCCTCGTTCTGCTTGTCCTGCAGAGGAAGGGAAGAGAATGGCTGCTGTGGGTGGGTGGGTCGGGGGATGTGGCCATCCCTGTCTTGGGAGTCCTGACCAGAGACGCAGGGGGAGGGTGGGCCCCGCTCTTGTCAAGGACAGCCACTGTGAGGCTGGTTTCCCTACAATCTGGACTCTCTTCCGGCGGCCAGGACCTTGCCCCACACCTCCCCCCAGCAAGGACAAGGTCATACCAGACTGTCCCCGTAGGCTTCTGCTTTGGAAATCGCCTCCTCGATGGCCTCTTCAGCCACCCGCAGGGCGACAGCCAAGGTGTCCATCATGCTGCGTCCTATAGAGTAAACAGAACACAGACCACTTTCTGAAAGGGAAAGGCAAGTCAAATGATTGTTCCACTTCAGTTCTTCTGTTTAAGTCTTGCAGGGGCTGGGGGCTAATTTCCCATTGCTCAACTTGGCGCACCAGCTCCAGCCCTTCTCCCCTGCCTCAGTCTCCCCCTCCCCCACAACCCCAGACACAAGAAATCGTGATTCTTTGAGAGGTACTGTCTCTCCCTTCATGGCTCCTATATCTTGGCCTTCTTTCCTCTGGTCCTTGCTCTGTACCTGACCTTGTTCCTGGGGCCCCCAAGGCTTGGCCCAAGGGCTCCTCCTCTGAAAAGACTCCTCAGATCTCTCCAGTCCCCATCTCAGCTGGATGTCTGTCCGAGACTCTGGAGTTTCTGGAGTTTCCCGCGGAACCAGACTCTCTCCCAGCCAAGTCACTCTGAGAGAGCATGACTGCATCACACGCAGTCCCTCCCGACAGGCAGACTGCCTTACAGATAACTGCTCTCCTAGAAGTGCTTCATATAAAGAAATAACGGCTCTTTCATCTGCTTTCTCAGATGAAGGTTATGTGTTATTTTGTGCATTTCACGTATCACTGTGAAGATAGGGATGGAAATTATTCAATGTTCTAAGGGCATTGGACAGTACACATGGTTTAATGCAAATACAAAACCCGTGGAAGCAATGTTTAGACTCTAAGCCAATATTGTCAAGAACAACAGCACTGGCCAACCTCACCGAGCTCGACTACCTGCCGGCCCCAGGCTGAGTGTTATGTGCGTGGCCAAAGTTCATTTGGAACAGTCCACTGAGTGGGTGTCATCTAATGGACAACAGAACTGAAGCACAGAGAGGTCAAATAACTTGGCTGAGGCAACTCAGTGTGACAGGAGGAGAGATGAGGTTTGAGTCCAGGACTCTGTCTGCAAAAGCCCTTGATTTTAACTACAATAGTGAGACAAATACAAGCTCACATGATTTAGAAAAATAACGCTAGCATATTTTTAGCAAACATATTTTTTGCAAATGGCAACAGGTGGAAGGAAATAGCCCCACGTCAGAGGGCTTCTGTAGGTGACAAAATTCTTTTTGGAGCTGAGTGCTTGGAAGAACTCTGCTTTCCCAGAAACTCAATCTTTGAAGTGAGAATTTCAATCATCCCTCCCTTTGCCCCAGAAGCCCAATTCACATCAGGCCCAGGAACACAGGTCTGCAGGGGCTACATGCCTATGCCTCCTTTGGCCAGATTTCAACTTCCTGTTTCCATTTATACTCTCTTACTCATGCATTATTTAACACATGCAAACCTCCTGAGAGCTGCCTCACACTCTCTGTAGAATGAGACTAAGCATAAATACATCAATTCACTCATTAATCAATCCCTCAATTAAAAAAAAACCTTGATTCAAGCTTTGCAGGTTCCTCAAGACACAACTGTGAACAGAAATTGGCATCTGGCAAACATAATAAAATCTCCAAAACCAACCCAGGGATGCTCAAAGAGATCCAGCAAGCTGACGGGTCCATCGAAAGCTGGCTATGATGACAGTCACATCAGGGCTCTGTGCGCCCCAGGGTGGCCGACTGAACACGCAGCTTTCCCAGTGTTTCAACAGGTATAGTCTACAGAATTGAGGTTGTCATCACACCACGTGCTCCCTAGAGATAGACACCTGTACCTCCCGTGTCTCTTCTTCGAGATACCAATCAACGTATTTTTCTCACAAGCCCTCGCTAGCCCTGGGACACCCCAATGGACAAGCCAAGTCCACACTCTCCAGTGCTCCCCAGGCTATGGGGTGAGCAGGCACTTATGCTAAGAGGCTTGCGGAAGGACCTGTGGTGGGTATCATTCCCCAGTTCCACAGATCCCTGGCCAGTAAGAGCCTGGAGCCATAACCCAGAGGCTCCGAATGCTATATTCATGACTTCTGGATGAGGGTGAAGTGGGGCACTCAAGATGTTTTGGTTGAAAGTGAAGACTCAGGTTGGTGCCGCAGAGGGAATGACTGGCAGGGGTGTGGAAGAAGGAGAAGGAGGCGAGGCAGAGTGACCGAAGCTTGGAGGACCGGTAGACAATGGGATGGTCAGTTTTAGGCATCATCCTGGCTGGGCTGTCATACCCAGTGATTTAATCCAACATGAATCCAGGTGTTGTCATGAAGGTATTTTGTGGATGTGGTTAATATCTACGATACTTGACTTTAAGGGAAGGAAATTGCTCTTGAGGTAATGTGGGTGGGTCCTATTCATGCAGTTGAGAACTAAGCCCTTCAGAGCAAAAACTAAGGTTTCCCAGAGAAGAAAGCCTGTCTCAAGACTAAAGCATTGGCTTCTAATAAATGAAACAAGATGGGATTGGGAGGGAGACAAACCATAAGTGACTCTTAATCTCCCAAAACAAACTGAGGGTTGCTGGGGGGAGGGGGGTTGGTAGAGGGGGGTGGGGTTATGGTCATTGGGGAGGGTATGTGCTATGGTGAGTGTTGTGAAGTGTGTAAACCTGGCGATTCACAGACCTGTACCCCTGGGGATAAAAATATATTATATGTTTATAAAAAAATTAAAAAAAAAAAAAAAGAAGCATTGGCTTCTGCCCCCAGCTCCTCCTGCTGACCTACCCTATAGACTTTGGGCTTACCAGGCCCCACAATGATGGGAGCCAAGTCCCTAAAATAAAATAAATCTGTGTGAGTGTGTGAGTGTGTGTGTGTGTGTGTGTCCCCTATTGGTTCTGCTTCTCTGGAGAACTCTGGTGCATACGGATGGTCACTGAAGGTAAGATTAATACAGGGGAACTGTGGGCAGGAGGCTCTCAGGCCATGGGGGTTCAGAATAGAAAGAGAAGGACAGAATTGGGAGAAAGAGCTGCTAGGAACTTGGGTGACTGAGAGCTTGATTAGGATGTGCAGAGGCTAGGATCCCTGTAGGATCTACAGGGATTGATACAAGCTTCAGAAATCTGAGTCTAGAACTCTGGGCTCAAATCAGTGCTGGGCATTTCAGCTTCAGCAGTGAATGGAGGAGCCTGGAGCCCGCAGGAGTGTGTCATACCACGGGGAGAAGTTCTAGGCGGCAATGATGAAGGAGGATAGGACCTCCAGGCGAAGGTACCTGAAGGAGAGAATAGAGAGCATGGAGAGGGGTTGTAGGAGCAGGTGACTCAGGAGGATTTCAAGGTCCAGCACGCTGGAGAAGGAGCTGAATTGATGGGGAAGGTTTAATTTGAAACCATCAGTTTGTTTTGCTTTTAACTTCTACTCTCAGGGGACTATGATATTGGTATAAAGAAGGAGAAGTGAATCAGTACATGATACATTGTTTCTATGAATATTTTAATATGAACTACACAAGTGTATTCATTATTATATTCTAGCTCTGGAAGATGGACTTGGAACTGGAGCTCACCAGGGGATATAAGGTATCCAGGGGTTGGGTAGCGAATGCACTGCTCTCAGCCACACCTTGGCTGTACTCACCAATTTTGATGATGGATACACACGAATGGCAACAACAAGAAGACCCCTGGAGACTTCCACCCAGTGAGAAGGGGTTGTGTCTAGCAGTTACAATGCAACTGGGAGGCCCTGAGTTTCTAAAGGCGCTTCTATTCCTTCAACTTCCCATTAGCTGCAAACTCTTAAGCAAACTTACCTTCTGACTGTCTATAAAATGTTGAATCACTGCCCGAAATACTTCCTTCATTCTCCAGGTTTGCCTCGAAAAAGTTTCCTCCTGAAGGGAGGGAGGGAGTGGGAGAGAGAATGGGATTATCACAGGTTCCCAGTGAGGACTGGTGCATGGTCACAGCCCTGGCAGACCATCACGACCCACTCCAATGAAGTCAGCCTTGCAGATATTTAGAGAATCAATGGGCTCCACAATAATGCTACAGCTTTTGATGAGTCACCTTTTTCTTCTCTCAGTGATTCCTGGTATAACACTGCTGCCTCCCTCGACTTTCTTCCAGTACCTTCTTTGGAGGCAATGTGGAATCAAAGAGAGAACAATAGATCGAAGCTGGAGAGATGTAAGGGTGTCATTTCCTGGACCTGCAAAGTACTAGCTGTGTGACCTCGGGCACATTACTTAACCTCTCTGACACTTGGCTTCCTTTCTAGAAAGAGAGAAAGAATAAGAGCTCATGATGCTGTGGGTTTGGTCTTCAGCTGCAGTCTATGCCACTGACCCAAACAGTTGCCTTTAGCTATTGATTTAACTGTCACCCTACTCTTCCATAGAATGGAGTCCATGTGAAACAAGCCCAGAGCGAGATAAGGTCAACCCATGGCGTTTGATCTTTCAAGGCCCGCTGCCTCTCCTCTGGTCTTCTTTGAATCGAATACACAACCAACCCTAATCTTAATTCCAGTCTGGGAACAGCAGCTAGCTAAGACCTTTTTAAAGCCCCTTTTCAAGTTGGGGATTTTTATGAGATTTCTGCATGTGGAGAGGATGGATTATTTTCAACTCTCTGTGTTGTATCCTCAGGACTCAACACAGCACCTACACAGAAGGTGGCTAAAGGAAAATGTTTTGAATTGGATGTTGATGGAAAACAGTGTTTGGCAGAACCAAGAAAATAAATATGGGTCCATGTGCCTTAGCTCAAAAGGGGGCAAATGCCATCAATGCTACGTTGAACTAAGCCTTCAATACATGTAATAGACGCTGTGCTTTCTTGGATGGGCTGTGATGGGGGCTCCCCTGTGGAAACCCTCAGGGTAACTGCTGTAGGTATTTGAGGCAGGTTTAGTAGACAGCTCCTTTATGAAATAGGCCATTAATGTGTAGCCTGTCATGGCTCACTTACTCTTTGTCTTTCTGAGACTCCGTTTCCTCACAAGGCTTTAAGATAAGTCCTCTCTGCAAATCCCAAGCTCTGGTTCCAAGCGCAGATATTTCCCTTTGGTGTGGCTACATCCAGCATTGATTCATCCATCCAGCAAAGAGTCTATGAACAGGTGTTTATACTAGGTGCCAGACTCTGGCCTGGGTGTTAGTATATGGGTGACCAAAGCCAGAAATCCTCACTGCCTTGACAAACTTGATGGAGTGGGAAAAAATTCATCAGTCAAAGGCTTACACAAACCAATGTAAAGTTATAGAGATGTTAAGTGCTCTGATTGGGTGTTTCATAGTACAGCGAATGCGTCTAGCAGGGACAGTGAGTAATGAGCCAAAGAGGTGCGGGGAGGTGGGAAAGTGTCTGGGGCAGAGCAGACAGTTTGCACACGACAGGCTGTGAGGGTGGCAGGTGCATCTGGGGACCTGAACGCGAGGCAGAGTGGCTGGGCCTGGAGATCCACACCATGCGGGTCATGGTGACCATACCCTGTTTTGATCTTTATTCCAACAGCCACATAAAGCCAGTAAAGCTTCCGTGGAGGGGATCTGGTCGGATTTGTGTTTCCAAAAGTGCGCTCTGGCTGCTTTGCGGAGAATAGCTCGGTGAGGGGAGTGAGGAAGGGCAGAGAGCAGAAGCCCTGAGCTCTGTGTGCTCTCTGGAGTGTGCCTGCCACCGACTGGGAAGATAGGCAGGGAAGGAAGTGGGGTATGTGCAGGAATGGTTTTGGAAACAGAGAGACTCAGGCATGTTTACTAATCAATAGGAAGGAACCAGTTAAAAGAGAGGCTGGCTCAGTAAGAGGGAAGGGATGTGTGACCTTGAGACCTTCCTGGAAGGTGACAGGATCCAGTGCACGGTTACATATTGTCTGCCCTGTGAAGGAGAAGGTGAGGTCCTCTGTGGAGAGAATGGGGGAGCGTGGAGGAGAGTATGAGGAGAAAGAAGATCTGGAAACATCACTGGGAGACTGAGCTGCCCAGAGGACAAGCTCCGGTTCTGCATAATTTTAAACCTTCTGGGACAGGACTTCTCCCTGTTTCCCTTGAAATTCACAGGTGGGAGCTTCAGTGCCATCTGGGAATGGCACAGAGTGGCTGAAATGTTCTGGAAAAGCATGACACAGCTGTCAGATAACACATGATGTCTTTCATGAGCTGGAAGAACCTCTGATGTCACATGGCTCAGCATTGTCAAAAGACTATGTTTGTCAGTCAAATCCCAGATGAAAGACTCAATAGACCCAAGACTCAATAGACTTTTCAGGAATCATGTAAAAAATAGCTATAGAGTATTTATGAGTAAAAACAGGGTTTATTTCTCTCATTTATTTATTGAATACTAAATGAAAGCATATGCTAATTATCCAACTGCCTAGAGATTAAGTATGTTAATAATGACCACTTCTATTTTTTCATGCCATGCTCCTTTCTAGGGTCACTATTAAAAATGTCATGCTGGGCGCCTGGGTGGGTCAGTGGGTTAAGCCACTTCCTTCGGCTCAGGTCATGATATCAGGATCCTGGGATCCAGCCCCCTATCGCATCGGGCTTTCTGCTCAGCAGGGAGCCTGCTTCCTCTCTCTCTCTGCCTGCCTCTCTGCCTACTTGTGATCTCTGTCTATCAAAAAAATAAGTAAATAATCTTAAAAAAAAATGTCATGCTGAATCTATCAGGTGTCCCATGTGAGCACACATTACCATAGGACACTACTTTAAAAAAAAAATTTTTTTTTAAAGATTTTGTTTACTTGTCACAGAGAGAAAGCACAAGAAGGGAGAGCAGCAGGCAGAGGAAGAAGCAGACTCCTGGCTGAGCAGGGAGCCTGATGAGGGATTTGATCCCAGGACCCCCGGACCATGACCTGAACTGAAGGCAGACATCTGAACCGACTGAGCCACCCAGGCTTCCTGGGACACTTTTTTTTTTTTTTAATGTACTTATTTATCTGACTTCTCCACTGGAATATTGACTCCCAGATGGCAGGGTCTTGCCCATCTTGTCACCCTTAAACCAGGTGGGCGCATAGTGGGTGTTCAATAAATGTTTACTGAATGTTTATTGAAGTCATGAATACATCTTACATTTACCTGATGGAACTAATGGGTCTCTTTTCAGGCCTGGCCTCTCCTGGTCACCTGATATGGGCTGCAGAGGAGTAAGCCTAGCTTGGGAGGGTCAGAAGTACAGAGAGCAGAGCAGGGTATGCATGTAACGGCTGGCCCAGAAGATTCTGCGAACTCGGTGAACTTTTACGAATTTTCAATGGACTGAATGTGTCAAGGCAGACTATGGCTGGTCCAGGGGGTGAAGATATTTCATAGGTACAAGGGGTTCCACTTCAACAGTTTGGGAACAGAGCATGTGCCCTGCATGCCGTAGATATTGTGTATAATGTTCTGGCAATCAAAATTCTGCAAACAAGTGCCCTTAGCCAGAGTTGAAGATGGAGCCATCTTATTCAGAATGCTACTGCCCCAATTATGGTCAAGTGCTAGCTGGGCTTCTCCACGTTGGCTGTGCCTTAAAATAACCTAGAGAAATACCTGTACTGGGCCCACCTCCACAGATACAGAAATAAGTGGCTGAGCATGGCAGGGGATCCTGGGCACTGGGTTTTGCTTTTGTTTTTGTTTTTGTTTTTTTAAAGCCCCCTAGGTGATTCTGATGTATAGTCAGGATTGAGGATGGCAGGGGACAATGATGAGAGGGTGTTGGGTGACAGGTGGAGCTAAGATCAAGGGCTCCCCAGTCAGGTGACATAGCCAGGAGGCCATTTCTGCCCCAGAGGATTTGCCCATACTTGCGGGGTGACTAAATTTTCTAGGTGGTGTGTAGAATAAATCTCACTGTTGTATGATCATGGCTTAACAGGCTTGAATATCACCTCACAGATTGTTCCCCTTCACTTTTATCCAAAGGAAGTCTTAGTTTAAATGGATTCTAACCATATTAAAGCAATAGATTCTAATAGTTCAGGGAAGGGTCTTGGTACCCACAGAATGCTTCTAAGATCAAACTGGTGCCAGACAAAGGATGTGGGCTTTGCCAGGTGTCGAGCCACGCTTTGGGAACACAGAGCGGATGAAGCCAGTGCTCCCATGGCTTGTAGACCGTCCCCTGAATGCAACGCAGCAAGTGCTGTCCTGAGGCCAAATGAAAGAGCTGTTGAATCCCAGAGGGCCCAGAACCCACATCTGTGTCCATCAGGCAGACGGTTATCCCCAGTAAGTGGTTTTCCTCAGAAAATGACACTTGAAAATTTCAAAGCCCTGAGCTGGCCCGCTTCGGGCTCCCATCCACCTGATCCGCCTGTGGGGCCTGAGAGAGACAGAAGAAGAGATCAGAGTTGTGCCCTGCTCTGGTAGGATTCCTGGTATGTTTGCTTTTCCTCTCATCTTTCATGAAGCAGTACAGAACGCCTATGAGGTCTGAAATTTGGTGACACTTAAGGGGGTACACAAAACAGACCTGAGGCCATACATGAGAGGAAAGAAAAGGATGGGACGCAAACAGGTGAGCCAATAATATTCTGGAACTTTCGTGAGATATGTCTTTGGCTTGAAAAACTACTGTTAATAAGATTACTTTTAAGCTTTCTTTCGTTCTCTCTCTCTCTTTCTTCCTTTTGCCTCCTTTCCTGGAGAAGAAACTTTTTAGAGAAATCAGCAAAGAGAAGATAAAAATAATCTGTGGAAGCCTTCAGCACTGCTCTCGTAGCTTAGGCTTCCTGAATAGTTTGAAAGATAGATTCTAACAACCACCACAAAAGGCCCTAATGATTCTCTGTGTTTAATGCTTCCATCCTGTTTCCCCCTGTCTCAGTGGCTGGCATATTTTTAGATAAGACACAGCCAAAGACTTTATTGAGAATACAACAATGTAAAATAATGACAGTGAAAAGGCTCCAAATGAGACGGATGAGATCTTTCTTCCATCCCCCTTTCTCGTGGATAAAAAGCATTTACCTGTGTCAGCAAAGAGATGAAAAAAAAACTGCCTTTAGACAGAGAAAAAAAAACCAGGCTTTTTAAAGAGGACAGACTGTTCATATTGTGACAATGATTTCTTTCTACTGGCTAGTCTAATAGAACTAAAGAAGATAATTTCTCTTTCTAATTACATTGGTTGTCTTATGTATATAAAAACAGCAAGGCAAAATCCAAGCACCAGGCTACTTGGGAGAGAAGCCTGTATTTTCCCGACTCTCCCATTACATCAGGTTCTGGGCCTGGTGTGAGTGGAGGTTGGGAACAGGAGGGAAGGGGAGTGGTGGGCATACCCTCCGAGGGCAGGCCTGGTCTACATGATCAAACAGAGGACTTCCCAGTGTTTCATCTGTAGGGGGAGATAATCGAGAATCTTTGATTTCCAGGGGCCTACAATTAAAATGTCCACAATACTTAGAAATATTTTGGTCCCAACAGCCCACTGGGGATGTGGGAACCAGACGACTCAAACTTCACAGCATCTTTGGTATTTGTCCTCATATTTCTGCTCCTCATCAGACGTATTTAGGCAACTTTCTCTGTCCTGTTGAGGACAGGGCCTCCCAGCCAGGCCTCCTTTTATCCCCTCAGCCCCGCAAAGTCTCCCACAGCAGCGGGCCGCCAGCGTACCTAGAACGTCGAAGCACGCCCCGCTCTCCAGCCGGTGTTTCCGGTACAGGTTCTTCAAGACCTTGGCGCTGCCAAAGCGTTTGAAGCGGCTCTTCACGTTACTGTAGAACCATTCCAGAGACTGGGTCCTCAGAAGCCTGAGGAAGACACAGAATAAGAAAACAAAATGAGAGACAAAGACTGGAATTATGAAGTGGCGGACGGCAAAAGTTGCCACCGGACTTCATAGCTCCTTCCACCAAGATGTGGAGCAGCATCTCTCTCGACTTCTTGCATCCAGGCAGGCCTGTGACTTGCTCAGACCACAGGGACCGGTGGGCAAAAAGACAGCTCCCTCTCATGCAGCTCTTAGAAGTCCTGTACTCTGTTACCACATGGTCAAGACCGAGCGGGTCTTAGGGGTGCCAAGAGACATTTGGCCCGAGCACCCCTTTCACCTCAGCTGGTGATGGGCCAAGCCCAGAAGAGATGACAGGGATGAGGTGAGTGACAAGGGCGGTAGCAGCCAGGATGACAGCAGTGAGGACGAGGCCCAGGCCACCCAGACAAAGAGATATTCACCAGGGATGTAGACTTGGAACATGACACTGACTCTGGTGCTGAGGACGCAGCCAGCCCATGGCGGTGACAACGATTCAGACAGTGGCAGAGATGGGGGTGGCCAGTGGAGCCGCAGCTACAGCCAGAGTCACAGTGTCAGTCCCATCCCTAGTGGCAGCGAGCACTCAGCCCAGGAGGCTGGCAGTGACGCCACAGCTTCCGGTCCCAGCAGCAGTGACCCTGTCCCAGGGCCTTCGGGGCTGGCGCAGACACGATTACCATGCACAAAAAGGCACTTTGCCAGCGGTCTCTTTGCGAGCCCTTTGCTCTGTTCTTCCCTTCCTCCAAACCTCTGCTGTTATTAAAGACAGTCTCTCTTTAAACAAACAAACACAGCACCTGCCAGTTGCCTGGGGTGAGCGAGTGGCTGGATGTAAGACCAGCGAAGCATGTGCCTGAGTCCACCCAGCAGCAGGTGGGTGAGTGCCTGCCATTCAAAGCCACTCACGGACGCACCTGCTTCATAGCAGGCTCTGCACTTGATGCTCGTGCTGCATTAACAACACCTCTAATTCAGCCTGGGGACGTACAAAGCACAAGAGAGACACAGGCTCTAGGACAAGATTCTGCAGCCACTTATTCGTTCAGCTAGAAGTACTGAGGGAAGCAGTTTCTTGCTCAGGCTGGAATGGTCAATACAGAATGCTGTCAGGATGCTTCTGGTTTTGGCTCAGTACTTCCGAATCCCTTCCATCTTAAGAATAGCTCTTGCTGTACCTTTTATTGTGAATGTAATAACAGGTACTCATTATAGAGAATTCAGAAAAGTAAAATGAATACAAAGGCCTCTCGCTCCCCAGATGCCAGGGATAAGGTAGCCAGAGGGAAAAGTCAATGCAGATGAAGAATGGGGGTGAGAGTAGAACCAGAGATTTTGACATATTTCTAGAAAATCGGAAGTGAGTGATTGCATAAAGATCAGAGAAAACACTGCCCTCCAGGTAGGCACTGGAGCTGGGCCTCTCGGACCAAGATGTCTAATTTGGAACTGGTTGGTGCCAAGAGCAGGACTGGTTGTAACACAGAATTCAGAAAGCTGATTTAATGGTTGTGTAGGCAACCATTGGTCCTTATTCCAATTCCCGATCAGCTGGACAACTGACCCAAGGTTGTTGTATCCTTAGGCCCCAAACAGAACATAGTCCTCTAATAAAACTAAACAACCTACTTGGAGAAGACTAGGACTTGAATATAAGGGTTACACCTGTAATGAAACCCTCCTTCTGCAGCCCTGGGGGAGCCCCCACACACTGCCCACCAGATCCTACTCATCTACCCTAGAGCCGGGCCTGCCAGGTGGCTGACTGGCTAATAAACTTGGGAGTTGTCGGTCAGCACACCCACCCCTTTTTCACAGGGGAGGTCTCCTGGGAATACTAACCTACCCATGTAAGTCACCTTTATTAACCAGCAAAGTCCTTTGTTAAAAATATGTATAGATAACTGTGGATCAGTAGATATTTGAAACAATCCAATGCCATGGGAAAGAAGGACCTAGAAAAACTAAGAGCAAATTTTTAGAAAGGGAAATGAAGGTAATCTAGGGTAATGAAAATAACTTTAAAAATTCTAATAAATAACTGATTTGAAAAAGACACCACATCCTATCCACACAACACTAGGTGGTGTGAAAATTAAGTAATCAGAAGACAATGTTTTCTGGAACATAGAACATATGATTGGGGAAAGAAAAGTAACAGAAGGTCTAAAAGTTAAAATCAATATAAACTTTCCAGAATGCAGAGGAGGAAGTAAAAAAGATGGGACATATCAGAGGAAGAGACATGAGGATGAATTCAGTGGCCTCAGCATCTAACAAGATTCTAGGGAGGAGTGAGAGGGAAAAAAAAATCAATCACATAACAGAAGAAAATGGCCGCAAGCTAAGAAAGGCAAAAGTCTTTAGGGTTTAAAGAGTCTACCAGTGGCAAATCAGAATAAATTGATTACAACACAAAGTACAGCAGACAAAGGAGATACGTCTTCATGAAGACCCTACAAGATGAGGCTTCTAGGCAGGAAAAAAAAGGGTATTTTTGTAAATGAAGAAAAATAATAATGACATTAAACATTGAAATCAGGAACACTGAATGCTAGAAGACAGTGGAGCATGGCTTTTCTAAGCCCAGAGAAGAAATGGCAAGGCCTCAGAACTCTATGCTCAGCCAAACTATCATCAGATAAGAGCCAAATAAAAATACTTTCAGACATGTAAGGTCTCAGAAAATCGGTGTGCTTTCTAGGAAGAAAAACTGTTAAGGTATACTTAGGGGAGCAAAAAAAAAAAAAAAAAAAATCCAAGAAAGTGGAAATCATGGGACTCTAGAAAGAGGGAGTTAGTCCAGGGTTGCGATGGACGGAAGTCCTAGATGTCGGGGCATAGCAGATCTGAAAGGAGGGGGTAGGGGGTGCACACAGTCAATGAGCACAGGATTAAGAAGCCCAATGAATGAGGAGAGACAGTGAAGAAGGAACCACAGCCTTCTTTTGTCAATAAGAAAAAAGAATCAGAAACCCCAGGAAAAACAAAAGCACAACTAAAAAGTGGCTGCAGAAAGTGATGGTCTCAACGAGAAGCAAATAAAAACTGTTAAGAACTTGTCAACTCCTGAAGCAGAAGGGAGGTGAATGGCCCATTCTTCTTCAGGTGGCCCAGGTTCACGGCCAAAGATTATATTTCCTTCTTTCTATGGACTTCACTGCAAGATTCTGGTCATTAGCAAATGATATATATTATATTATATTATATTATATTATATATAAAATAGGTACAATATAATTTTATATAGAATATTAAAATGCCATTAACTTTTCACACCCTATTTACAGACAAAGAAAGCAAGAAAGATCCTCACTGTCAAGACATTTGCCCTTTTTGCTGAAAGCAAAATCAAGTTACCAGCTAGCGTGGCAGAAGCCTGAATGCAGAAAGAGGATTCTGTGGTTCCCGGCACAGAGATGATTCACATGCTAATTTCCTCATCCTACACTGAGGGAGTCCAGGTAGGCTTCTAAACTAGCAACATGGACGGGACTGGAAGAGATTATGCTGAGTGAAATAAATCAAGCAGAGAGAGTTAATTATCAAATGGTTTCACTTATTTGTGGAGCATAACAAATAGCATGGAGGACATGGGGAGTTAGGAGAAGGGAGTTGGGGGAAATTGGAAGGGGAGGTGAACAATGAGAGACTATGGACTCTGAAAAACAATCTGAAGGGTTTGAAGAGGTGGGGGGGGTGGGAGGTTGGGGGAACCAGGTGGTGGGTATTAGAGAGGGCACGGATTGCATGGAGCACTGGGTGTGGTACAAAAAACAATGAATACTGTTATGCTGAAAATAAATAAAAAAATGATTAAAAAAATAAAAAATAAATCATAAGGACAACAATAGTGGCTTAAATGTGTTATTTAAAGTGATAGAGGTCATTCTGTTTTAATAAAAGGTTTTAATAAAACTTTAATAAAACTTTGTGGGGAAGGGAAAGAGGTAGCAAGAAGTAGGCTACTTATGAAGGTCTGGAGTTGACAAATCAAGAAATGGTAAGATAAGCACGTGAGTTACAATTATAGTAGTAACCCCAAGAAATGTTTCCAGGTGCTTGCTTGGGACATTGGGATTTTGCATGCAGATGGGGGCATAAGACTATTTTTATTTATTTATTTTTTTAAAGATTTGTTCTATTTTATTTGAGAGAGAGAGAGCACACATACATACGCATGAGTGGGGAGAGGAGCAGAGGGAGAAGCAGACTCCCCACTGAGCAGGGAGCCTGATGTGGGGCTTGATCCCAGGTCCCTGAGATCATGACCTGAGCCAAATTCGAGAATCGGCTCTTAACTGAATGAACTACCCAGGTGCCCCAACTTTTTAAGTTGACTATCATTTTATATTGTTTGATTTTTTTTTTAAAAAAACAGGTATTATGCATTAATGTAAAAGCACTAAAATAAAAACAAATAAAAGAAGATTTTAAAAAAATCACCCAAAAGTTCTTGATATCTGAAGAATGTTTATTATGAACCAAATGTTTGTGTTCCCACAAAAGTCATGTTGAAACCTAATCCCCAATGTGATGTTATTTGGAGGTGGGGGCTCTGAGAGGGGAGGTGTCATGAATGAGATAGTGTCCTTACAAAAGAGACCCTAGAACACTCCCTCACCCCTTCTATCATGTGAGGACACAGTGAGAAGATGGCCATCTAGGAAGTAGGAAGCAGCTCTTCACCAGACACTGAGACTGCTGGTGCCTTGATATGAGACTTCCCAACCTCCAGGATAGTGAGAAGTAAGTTTCTGTTGTTCATAAGCTACTCAGTCTGTGGTATTTCTTTATCACAGCCGGGACAGACAAAGATGGTCCTCTTCCAGCTTCTTCTCAAGGGGATCCCCGAGGACCTAATCAGCCTATGCAGATTGGGAGAAGTCCAGGAACTGGTGTTGTGTGTGCACATGCGCACATGTGCACACATACATGCATACACACACGGGGAAGCCAGTCTTGATATAAAGACTACCGGTGCCCCAGAAGGGGCCC